CAGGGAACTAGGAAAATTATCAACCCCATCTCACTAAATTATTTTACCTATAAAAAAAAACAATAATTTATAAGAAAATATTACAGAGATACAAGATATGTGTGGTTGTGGCTTTAAAGAAAATCACTCACAAGATTAAGAACATAGTCACAGAGGCAAGCTACATATCAGCATCCGGACAGGCAAAGCTGTAAGAAAAAAAGCAATTTATCAATAACCTAAAACATACTAACATTTAAAATAAATACGTACTGGATGCGGAGGTGCTCGAAGCCTTTGGTCATCGCCATTTTTGCCAAACTAAAGGTGACCTCCTTGCTAGCATTAGGCGGAATGATTACAGAAACATTGTAGTTGTTGAAATTTTCCCAGAGGGAACACAATGTTTTAGTCTCCTCTAGTATTTCGACCACCACTGGCATATTGTTCATTTGTTGCTCAAATTGAAAGAGGGAGTTCCGAGCAATATTGTACCTCCTCTCAGCTCATCGGCGGAATCTCTCGTGGGAGCGATCCTCCATCTCTAGCTTGGTGAAATTGGGGATACCATTACTGAGGGCCATTATAATCAGCCCACTTCTCTTCTCTGCAACACACCCATTTCGTTCCATGGCTGAATACTTATTAATGAGAAATTACTTAGACATGAAAGAGAAATTGGTGCAGTAAACCAATTTGTGGTTGTTTGTTGGTTTGTCATTTATGTCTATCCAAATATGTGGTTGTTTGTTGGTTCGTCATTTAGTCTATGAAATAACATGTTGTTTTTAGAGTTTTTAGGTCTAATGGTTTCTAAATTTTGATCCAATTTGCATATTGGTCCCTCAATTCTCAAAATCGTTCATGTGGTCCTTCAACTTCACTTTCGTTAGGACAAATGGTCATGCCGTCAATTTTGTTATCTTTTTCTATTAAATACATACCAAAAATAGTATTTTTATATTATTTTTAATTTCTACCATATGAATATTCCTTTCACCCAAAAAATAAAAATAAAAAACTAAAAAACTAAAAAACCTTCTTCCTATCCTCGCCATTGCAGGAAAGGTGGGTACGGTTTGGGTGGGGGTGTGGGTTGTTGGAGCACCATCAGTTGTTAATGGGGTGGTGGGTTAATTGGCTCGGTGTGGGGTGGAGGTTGTCCATGACTTTGTTGGTTTTGGTGGAATATTCAGATGGTGGAAATTAAAAATAATACAATATACCATTTTGCCCATGCATTTAACAAAAAAAAAGTTAACAAAACTGACGGCAGGACCATTTGTCCTAACAAAACTAAAGTTGAAGGACCATGGGAATGATTTTGGAAATTGAGGGACCAAAATGTGAATCATGTCAAAATTCAAAGACCATTGAACCTAAAAACCCTTGTTTTTATAATATCATCCATTCTTTTTTGTTTAAATATTAAATCAAAAATAAATAAATAAAACTTGCATTGTATAAACATCCAATAACACAAAAAACATACAGCCCCTCATGAGGGAAAGATACTTTTATAGCCTAGGACTCTATTCACCATTTTTAGAACCCTTGATGGCCTTAGTCTTGAAACATTGGTTTTGTATTGTCCTTAATATGAGAAATATATTCGATAGAAAATTAAAAAAGAAGAATAAATTAAGAAATGCTACATCATCTCATCTTATGGGTCCTTAAATATGGTTCTATTTTGTTGACATGAATCCATCCTCTGGCACTTCTTTTAGGCGTCTTATTCTCAATAGCATGTGCATTTTGAATAACTTGATGGAAATTGAGCCTTGCGACGATTAGTATTTTATGAGACTTTTCAGCTCAGATTCTATTTCGACTCAATTGAGGTCTACAATTTTCTATGCTTCACACTACCATCAGTCCATTTTTAATTACTATTATTTTCATTAAAGAAATGTCAATAAACCTTTATGAAAACTGTGGGAACCGAATTAAATCAAAACCCTAGGGCAGATAATTCCTTCAATTTGGGAATTATTTGACCTAATTGGGAATTACTAAACCTAATTGGGAGTTACTCAATTTAATTGGGGGTTATCCAATTAAATTGAGAAATACCTAATTAAGTTAAAAGAACTTC